CCGAAACTGAAAAACGGAAAAAAAAACCAAAAAATGCCCAACCGCAATTGACCTGCAGTTGGACCATGGCCGGACCGCAAATCCCCTGCGGTTGGGCATTTTCTGGTTTTTTTTTTCTTCGTTGAATAATTTTCTATTTTTTATATGATTTATGATTTGTTCCATGAGATAATTTGTTGGGTTTTGATTTATATAATTTTCTAGATTTATTTGCATAATTATTTTTGGAATTGAAGGATTTAGCATTAGAAATTAATATTAGATTTGGCCTTAAATTAAGATTAGATTTAATTTGGTCTTAATCCAGAAAATTAAGATTAGATTTTCCATTACAAATTAAGATTAAATTTATTTGCATAAGTAATAGATTCGCATTAGAAATTAAGATTAGATTTGGCCTTAAATGAAGATTAGATTTAATTTGGTCTTAATCTAGAAAATTAAGATTAGATTTTGCATTACAAATTAAGATTAAATTTATTGCATAAATAATAGATTCGCATATGAAGATTAGATTTAATTTGGTCTTAATCTAGAAAATTAAGATTAGATTTTGCATTACAAATTAAGATTAAATTTATTGCATAAATAATAGATTCGCATATGAAGTTATGATGATTATTAAATTTAATATAGTTATGAAATTTTAAATTTATCATATGGTACTCGTTAAATTGACGATATAGAATGTTAATTTTTTTTTTTTAATTTGTGGGGTATCACTTATAAATTCTGATAACATTGCAGGATATTGGAAGTTACAATCCGGATGGCCATGATTACACCTCGGATTTCATTGATGGCGTGAAATACACTACGGAGTTGCAAGCATATGAAGCAGCTACTGAGATTGCCAAGGGTTTTGGGTTTTATTTGGCGACATTACTTACATTGCACTCATGGTAGGAAGAAGAAGTCAAAGGAACCTGATCCGAGTAAGGAAAGGAGGCCTCTTACATCTACTGAAAAGTTGGGGTGCGAGTTTCAGATCAAGCTTGAGCGGTCAGGTGATGGATATTGGTTGATCCTAGGGGTGGCAAATACAAAGAATCCTGGTGCTAATTTGGGTTTCCACAATCATCAGTTGGAGCTATTTCCGGAAGGATCAAAGGGAAGGAATGTTCTGACTACAGAGGATAAGCAATACATCAGAGAGCTGAGATCAGCCGGTGTCCCACCAAGGAATATCCACAAGGCAGTGAATGAGAGAAAAGGTGCAAATGGAACACACAACAGAAAGCATATTTATAACGAGTTGCAAAAGATAAGGAAAGAAGAGCTTGGTCAGATGACAGCCTTACAGTATACTTTCCGCGTGGCGCAGGAGAAGGGTTACTATGTGCAGTATATGGACGATCGTAACGTGCTTACACACTTGTTCCTAGCCCACCCTGAGTCAGTAGTGATGTTGCGAGCTTGGCACCATGTGATCGTGATAGATGCAACATACAAGACCAATAAGTATGATATGCCTTGGGTTGAGATTGTCGGCATGACACAAGTGGGATTGAACTTTGTCATTGCATCTGCAATAGTGTACGACGAGACGAAGGAGTCATACCAGTGGCTTCTGACGCATTTGCAACATCTTCTTGGCCCCATTGTTCCAGATGTGTTTGTCAGTGACAAGGCAGAAGGATTGGTTGAGACCGTGGGGGTAATGTTTCCATCATCGACTCATATATTATGTCTTTGGCATATGGATAGGAATGTGAGAGCAAAGTGTCTAGCGGAGGTGAGAAGGACGACTCATTGTGGTATTAATGCAGCCAAACCGACAGTGGATCATATCATGGCGTCTTGGCAACGTGCTGTATATGCATATCGATAACGTGCTAACCTCTGTCTAGCCTCATCCCCACCTGGCAAACGGGGAAAAATCCACGAGGAAGCACGAGGTGCATCCGGAGACTGCGGCAGCTGACTTGGACGGAATAGAGGAAAGTACTCATATATCCAAGCCTGAAGCAGGGTCAAACAACCACAAAGACCCTTACTACTCGCTCGTGTGGCCACTCCCAACTGTCTGTAGAGATAGGCTAGTGCACCAGCTCCCCAAGTGTAATCAGTCAATCGTCGATGATCCTTCAGAAACAAGTTGATCGCAGGACGAAGGCGATCACGACTCTTATCCACAAAAAGCGTGGATCCCAGTAACACAAATAGGTAACACTGCACCTCCATCTCCTTAATCTTCAACTCTCCCCCACGCACCAACAATCCCTCTGCATGCATAGCACCATTATCGTACCACTTAGACTTCCACTTACCACCAACCTGAGCATCCACCGAAAGTCGAACTAGACCACCCATGTCTGACTTAAGAGTATCCGGCGACGCCTCATCTCCCATCATCTCTCCGTCAACCGGTATCCGAAGAATGTGATGCACATCGTGTAGAAGGATCGAAATCTCTCCAAACGGCATGTGGAAGGTGTTTGTGTCCGGCTGCCACCTCTCCACAAATGCCGACAGTAGAGCCATGTCAAAATGCTGCATCATGCACCCTGTCAAGTGAGACAATCTTGTGGCTTCAACCATCTCCTTGGAACCCTCTGCACTCCACTTATATCGCCTCAAAGTCTCTAAAGCTTTCGGCCTATGGAAGCCGTCCAACACTCCACAGTCCTGCTCAGGGGTATTCCACAGTACAAGACCAATGTGACCTCCAAAGCTAGGGATCACATCGGGAATCACTGGTCCACCTGAACACATCGGAGACTCGGCTGTAAGAAACCACGACATATCTTTCCTCGTGGTCTTCCTCTTCCTATTTCCATCTCCGCCATCCTCGCTACTAGGTCTGGACGCATAGCGTCCATCGCGGCCACGGAAGTGGGAGGAGGCAGTAGAAGATCTTCCATTCTCTCTGCCATCCTACCAGTCGCCGTAAGTCTACAAGCACGACCTTCCATTCTCTCCTTATTTCTCGCCTTAATCATATCCGGTTTACCCATTCCATGTCCAGACATCTTCAAAAAAAAGTTTGAATTATTAATAATGGATTATTAATAATAGAGTACATAAAGTAATAAATTAAAGATTTCCATAATTAAAATTGTAAAATTAATAGTTTGAACATTTATGTTACGTTCTATGTAATCATTATTTACATAAAAGTAAATAATTAATCAAGGTAAAATTATTAATAATTAAGTAGATAAACAAATTACTTTGAAATTTTTATTATTAAAATGATAAATATACATTTTTAATTTTTTTATTATGTTCTTTAAATTTGTTATCATTAATTAACATTTATCGAAAACGTTTTTTAAATTTTTATATCATATAACTAAATTAACATTATAACTAAATTAACATTTATTGAATACGTTATCATTAAATATAATTATAACCAAATTATTTTTATTAAATATATTTTTTAATTTTTTTATTATTATTAACATTTATAACACAGAATTTAAAAAACAGAATTTAAAAAAAAAGGCCCGACCGCAGTCAAACCGCGGTCGGTCAATCGCCCTTTGACCGCGGTCAGCCGTCGGTTCAACCGCGCGTTGACCGCGGTTTGACTGCGGTCGGGAATTTTTTTTTTTTTTACCTTCTTCTTCTCCGACGAGCGAGCTTGCTCCGGCGGCGGCGAGCGCGACGAGGGGAGGCAGAACCCCGGCGGCGGGAACGCGACGAGGGGCAGAGCCCCGGCGGCGGGAACGCGACGAGAGGAGGAGGGCGGCAACGCGTCCGGCGAGGCTGGACGGCAGCGATGCTGGCGCGGGCGGCGAGGGACTGCGGCTCCGGCGGCGGCGAGCTTGCGCGGCGTCGGCTGCTTCTTCTCTAGCTGCAGAAGGAGAGGTTGAAGGTTGAAGGAAGTCTGCTGGAAGGAGGGTGGAGGGGTAAAGGGCCTGTTTGGTTGGTATATTTTTTAAATTTTCATTAAGGGCATATAGGTAAATTGATTTGTAAGTTAGGGCGACGTTTAGCAATTTTTAAGGCGACATTTAGCGATTCAGTATTTCATTGCTATGGAAAAGAATTACCACATGTATACAAATCTGAAAAAAAATCCAAGACCTATCTTTCTTCTTCATCTCTCAAGCGCATCTCACCTTCGTTGGCCACTTCACCCGCCGCCGATTTGAACGGAATCCTCCCTGGAACCAGCCACCACTGTCGAGGCGGAAGCGTATTTGAGGTATGAATGGCCTTGACGGATTCTTATTCGATGAATCTGATGGTGTCGCTCTCGATCTCTCAAAGTCGTCGCCGCTGCTTGCCTTTCTATCGCCATCGATATCTCTTCGTCTTTCGCTGCCGCCTACCTCACCATCGCCATCAACGAACCGCTGTGTCTCTTTAGACGCCCGTGAGGAAATGGAGATCGAAGACAACTTCTCCTTCGCCGCTATTTCCAATGACCACGTCGCCAGTCGGAGGAGGAGAACGATAGTTGAGGGTTTGTGATGATCACACCGTTGATCGGGGGAGGATGAAGAGAGAAGATAGAGGCAGTTACAGGGATGGAAGGCAGACGATTTCAAGGAATGAGGAGAGGCGGCCAATTAGTATATATATTACGGTTTGTGAGGAATGATTTGATTTTTGACTAAATTACCCCTTGTTAGATTTTAACCATTGGATCAAATTTATAATCAATGGTTGAAAAACTAGTTAGCATGGTGCTAACTCTTTTAGAGGTTAGCACCTAATCCCACTCCGTGATTTTAGTCTTAAACGATAACCATCGTCATCCCTAATGTCATCATTTCAATTAATATGATAATTACAACGAATTAATTCGTAATTAGCACTCTCCTCCAGAGTCTGTCCTCCTGACTCAGACTGGTTCATGAACTTGTTAAGTAAGCAATTAACTCAGCAGCTTGACCAAGGAAAAGGATCTCTATATAAAGGCAAACCAATCTCCCCCACCATTTCTTGGTCATCAAAACACCACACAAGGAATCCCAACTCTTCCCCTGTTTTTCCTCTTTAAACTGAAGCAGTCAAACTCTGTTTCCATTTCTGTCTCGGTGAAAATGGAATTCGGGTCGTTGAGGAAGCGGGAGCAGAGTTTCCCACCAAAGAGAGGGCAGATCAAGATGAGGATCATCAAGAGCCTCATTAGTTCAGCAGCTGCTGCTATTGGTACTTCAAGCGGCGGCAAGCTGAAGATAAGTAGAAGGGACGGCGACGGCGGCGATGGATTTAGCAGCAGCAGCAGCATATGCTCGTTGGCGCCGGCTACTCCGCCTGCAACTCCAACTGGGTATTTGTCCAATGCCGAAGCGTTATTCATTGATGATTCCAGATCTGATCATTGGCTGCCGTCGGTTGATCATCTGGGCAATTCTCTTGTACAGTTAGTTAGGTAGTCCGAGCAGTGGAGGAGCCAGGAAATTGGCCAAGTGGGTGTCTTTATCATATCATAAAAAATCACCTATACAATAGAAAAGTCAACTTTAAATTAAACAAAAAGTCAACAACGCAATACTCTAAATTCACACAATTACATCAAAATAGTTTCACGTACACCGTTTACAACGTCAAACAAATAAGTTCAGTACATACAAATCAAGACTTCCATTCATCAAATATTACAAATTAGAACTCAGAAGTACCTTGGAATTGATTTTGTGAAACAAACAAGTGAACTTCAATTGGTACTTCTTCACTTTCAATTTTGTTTAAACAAAAGACAAGAAATTTCTCTGTTGTAGAGCTAAAAAAAATGAGCGAGTTTAAACAAAAGACAACAATTTATTACTATAAATAAAGACGAAAGTGCATTACATAACAAAACTCACTCGATCGAAATGATAAGAAATTCTTTCTGCAACTGAATGGTCATTGGTTGGAATTTGTATATATCCCTACTCGAAAAAAATTTCTCCATTTGCACCCCCTCCTCTCCAAGTGGCTCCGCCACTGAGTCCGAGGCTGTTGTGGTGTTGTGAGGAAATTTTGCTATGAGATTGGTTCCACAGTTCTTTTCGAACAGTGGCGGATCCCGGGTGCCACCCCATGCCACAGCCCAGCCCTCCTCTGGATCCGGAACTAGTATAGTCCTTCTGCGTTTATCGATTTTAGTCATTCGGCTCAGTGTTATTTTATAATACAATTGTGTGTAATTAGGAAAATGGTAAGATGAACATATTCAAATCATAACTCTAAATTTAGACTGGAAATTCTAGCTCAAATGAGTCTCGTCTAAAGAAAAACAAACAATGAAACCTAAAATTCTAAAAGTCTAAAACGTAAAAGGCTAAAAGAAATATGAGATTTGTTTACGTGAAAAATCACTAGAGCATGTGGTGAAAATAGGGATGGATACACAATACAAATTGATTAGTCGATTGATTTATCTAGTGTTGACATTGTCCGTTTCACAGATACTATGGAGAGAACCTTTTCAACAATGGAACAGTGAAAATTGATTTGTGCAACAAAATGAGCAATGAATTTCTTGCCGATTGGTTAACTATTTTATTTGAAAAAGAGTAGTATGTGATTAGTATGGATGTAGACTCCTTTATTGATGAATTCACTATGTTAAAAGATAGACGTGTACAATTTTTTTCCGTTGAATAGACGTGTACAATTGATATTGTAAAAAAAAATTATAATTTTTTGCGGTATCTAGTTTTCAAATGAAATGCGGCCCAGTGCTCTACTATATCCTGGATCCGTAGCTGTTTTCGAATGCTAAAGTTGAGTATGGAATGGTATGAGAATTGTGATCCATCCCTGCATATGTAAATTGTAATTGGAAGATTGGGAATCCATCCAACTCAAACCCATGATGTATGAAAGTAAACAATTCCATTTCCAACTAGTTGAAATGGTTAATTAGATTTCGTTGTTCAATTCAAATTATCTTTGAACTACAAACTACTTTGGTAAGAAAATAACTCCAAAATATGTTAGTAGGTTGATAACAATATCTATAAATTTTAATAAGTCGTTAAATGATTCGAAAGGCTCGTTCTTTGACCGCATCACATACAAGGGGATGGAATCACATGAAAAAAGCATCATCATTAGATGCTTAAAGATATATAAAATCAAGATACAGAGGAAACAAGTAGGATACACTGCTTGTACATTACACAAGGTCAGAACATTAACATTGCCGCTTTGCTGCTTGCTTTAGGAACTCTCAAAACGATGTTGCTCCATTTTCGTAGTTTTTTTCTCTTTGAAAGACGAAAAATTATCTTCCTCGTCATATGTCCAGTTATAAAATAATGATTATAATAATTATACTGGGCGTTTTGCACTGACAACTGACAAGTATATAAACGACAGTAGAGTTTTTTTTGCAACAAACTTCTAATGAAAAACAAACGTGGATTCACACAGTAGGACTACCTACCTAGCCTAGGGTAGACTCCCAGGGGCCGCAGCCGGCGGCGGCCACGTTTGAAAACGCCATGTTGCCGTCTCGGTGCATTGTAATCATCCTTCACATGTTCGACAGAGACAGAAATGGTACGCACGTGTGATATGAGTCAGGCGACAACTAGGAATGGATCTCCTCGGCATATTCCACCGGCCGGCCAACGTCTCTGCCCCCAATAATTGTGTCCAAGTAGATCTGTCCCCCAATAGTCCACCGGTCACCATAATTGCCAACTTTACATGCCCACCTGAAGGATGAACCGGCCGGGACTTTTGGACACACATATCTCATCGGCTGTTGGTAACCCGCTCAACCTTTTCATCTCCCTAACTTCAGCGCGAGCTCAGGATCTCGTCGGATTCTAGGGTGTTGCTATGAGTTGAACACATACTATCTGCAGTCGACAGGAAGTAAAGGGGTCTCGTTGTAATATGTATCTTTTCAACTATAGTCAAATTGTTCTCTCTTGCTCCTGGATTGGTTAACACATATTGTGTTAGTGAACAATATAAGTATGTGTGTTCTTTACTTTCTTGCATTGTCGATTATCCGATCTGTTCTAACATAGAGCATGGTACTCAGCTGGTTATAGCATAAATTTTATAGCAATTACTTCGATAGGTTGATCAGGTTAATGCTCATTCACTAATATCTCATAATATTAGAGGCTGTTGCTAAATGATGATATCTAGTATATGTACCATTAGATATACGTGACAATATTGCTCCAAAATATCGTTTATGCATATATGTCTAAAACTTGTTTTCTAAAAAAAAAAAAAACTTGTTAATATTATGTGATAGTTGTCATAAACCAGTTGATCCTAATAACTCGAGTTGTTGGGAGAAGGTTATGTTGGATCTTATACCACACTCTAACACGCCCCCTCAAACGAAAGCCAACCAATGGGCTTGAAGTTTGCATAGGCCTACCATACCTTGTGCTTTAATAAACTGTTAATATTGGGGGTCGTGGAGATTCGAACACACGACCACTTGATTAAACAGCTCTAATACCACATCATAAACCAGTTGGTTTCAATAACTCGAGTTGTTGGAAGAAAGTTACTATAGTTTCATCAAGTTACCCTCTGCCGAACTTAACCCCGACCCGCATTTCCTTTTGAAGAAGGCCAAAGAAAGGTTCCCACCTGCTGCCTGTTGGGCCCCACCTACCTGAGTGTCTTACTTCCAAAGCAAATTTGGGCTTGACTTTTGACTTTTGGGCTCTATTATTGACCCGACTGAAGCCCACTCCCGCAAGTGAAGGAAGGGAAGAGCTTGTCAAGCAAGCAACCAATGCAACCTTAATCTAATATAATATAATATTTATTTGTCATTAACTGGCAGGAGAAGAAGACATGGCGTTTGGCATCATAGGCTACTATCATACGGACCCCACCAACAAAACAGCATCAGTAAACACTAAACAATTGACAATTAGTTAATGATATTGTCTTAAACGATACCATCGTCATCCCTAATGTCATCAATTCAGTTAATGTCCTAATTAAAATGAATTAATTCGTAATTAGCACCAGACCTCACCTCGTATTCCGCTACCCGCTCACTCAGCACTCAGCAGTGACGTTCACACCTAGGTACAGTACCCTCTGCTTCTCAACCTATTTGACTCGACCCGGTGGACCGGTTCATGAACTTGTTAAGCAAGCAATTAACTCAGCAGCTTGACCAAGAAAAGGATCTCTATATAAAGGCAACCAACCTCCCTCACCATTTCTTGGTCATCAAAACACCACACACAACTCTTCCCCGGTTTTTTTCTCTATAAACTGAAGCAATCGCACTCTGTTTCCATTTCCAATTTTTCATTTTCTCTCGGCGAAAATGGAGTTCGGGTCGTCGAGGAAGCGGGAACAGAGTTTCCCACCAAGGAGAGGGCAGATCAAGATGAGGGTCATCAAGAGCCTGATCAATTCAGCAGCTGCTGCGATTGGTACTTCAACCGGCGGCAAGCTGAAGCGAAGTAGGAGGGATGACGGCGGCGGCGGCGGCGATGGGTTTAGCAGCAGCTGCTCGGCGGCGCCGGCCACTCCGCCCGCAACTCCAACTGGGTACTTGTCCGATGCCGATGCCTGATTAATTGATAATTCCTGATCTGATCATGGGCTGCCGTCGGTTGATCATCTGGGCAATTCAATTACTGTACAGTTAGTTATATAGTCCGAGGGGCTGTTCTGTTGTATATTACACGACGGGGATGAAATTTTGCTATGAGATTGGTTTCTTTGTTCTTGTTGAATGCTAAAGTTGAGTATAGAATGTTATATGAGAATTGAGATCCTATCCTTCCCTGTATATGTAATGGAAGATTGGGGATCCAACTCAAAATCATGATGTATGAAAGTAATGAATTCAGTTATCAACTGGTTGAAATGGTTAATTAGATTTGTTAGTTCAATTCAAGTTATCTATGATGACTATTTAGTAATAGATTTACGGTACTATGAAAAAAACTCTAAAATTTTACTTCTTCTATAGCGCTATAACATAAAGTACATGTTTTCAACTGATCGACACTAAATTAAATAGTCAAAGTACTTCTATATATGTTGACGAGCTGATACTGTTATCCGTAAGTTTTAATAAGTCGTTAATTGGTTTGAGATACCCGTATATAACATCACATACATGATGGCATTGCAAGACAAAACCATAATCCTTGGATGCTTAAGGACATAATAAAAAAAATAAGATAAGATGGAATCAAACAAGTACGTGTAAGTGAAAGACACATTACTCGGACAATAAATAGTCAAAAGATAACATTGTTGCTTTCCTGCTTGCGTTAGGAACTCTAAAAACGAGGTTGTTCCATCTGAATAATTTTCTTCTTCTTTTGAAGTTCGTTCCAGCCTTCCAAATTCAAAGTTCCCTAACTCATATTTCCTTTTATAAAATGATAGTAATTATTAAATACAGGCGCACTAATTAACACAATAGAAAATCATAATGGACGTTTTGCCCTGACAGATACATAAACGAATGTGGACCATTTTTTTTTTTTTTTTTGCAACAAACGTCTAATTCAAAATCAAACGTGGTTCACAGGAGAATTCCCTAGGTAGGTTAGAGTTAGACTCACAGGGGCCGCAGCCGGCGGCGGCCACGTCTGAAAAGGACTACTTGCCGTCTCGGTGCATTGTATTTGTAACCATCCTATTCCTATATATGTATGTTTGACAGAGACAGCAACGGTACCGACGTGTGTGATTGTGATATGAATCAGGCGACAACTAGAAATGCATGCCCCCCGCCCCGCATATTCCACCGGCCGGCGAACGTCTATGTCCCAATAATATAATTGTGTCTCAGTTGATATATAGTTAGGGGAATTACTAAATTCATTGGCACCATAATTGTCAGTTTCACATAGGATGGCAATGGGTCGGGTTGGGTCGGGTTTTGCCAAACCCAAACCAAAATCCATGGGATTATCTAAGAAAAAAATCCGGGGTAAAACTCACTAAGTTTGAAAAACTCAAACCCAACCCAACCCGCTGGGTATCCGTGGGTTCATGGGTACCCACGGGTTTTTGTCGTAAAAAATTTACAGTAACAAGTTCTTATCAAAATCAAAGTCAAATATCAATCTCTCAATACAAATTATCCATATATAAAACACCATTCTAGAAAATTCAAGCAAATCACAAATATACTATACAAATTGTTCAACACCAATCTAGAAAACTCAATAAAATTGAAACAAATCACAAAGTATTCATAAATAACATGATTAATTGAAAGATTCTTCTTTTCAATTAAGTTTCTTCATTCTCCACTCGATGACATCAACTTCATTCTACAAAATTAGAAAGAAAAAATTAGACATGTCTCCACAAACATAAATAAGATTAGTTGTTTATAATATTAGATATACCGAGAAAATTAACTATATGGGTGTGGGCGGGTACCAGTGGCGGAGCCAGGAAATTGGCCAAGGGGGTGTCTTTATCATATCATAAAAAATCACCTATACAATAGAAAAGTCAACTTTAAATTAAACAAAAAGTCAACAACGCAATACTCTAAATTCACACAATTACATCAAAATAGTTTCACGTACACCGGTTACAACGTCAAACAAATAAGTTCAGTACATACAAATCAAGACTTCCATTCATCAAATATTACAAATTAGAACTCAGAAGTACCTTGGAATTGATTTTGTGAAACAAACAAGTGAACTTCAATTAGTACTTCTTCACTTTCAACTTTGTTTAAACAAAAGACAAGAAATTTCTCTGTTGTAGAGCTACAAAAAAAAAAAAAAATGAGCGAGTTTAAACAAAAGACAACAATTTATTACTATAAATAAAGACGAAAGTGCATTACATAACAAAACTCACTCGATCGAAATGATAAGAAATTCTTTCTACAACTGAATGGTCATTGGTTGGAATTTGTATATACCCCTACTCGAAAAAAATTTCTCCAAAGCCAAGGGGGGTGCAAAGCACCCCCTCCTCTCCAAGTGGCTCCGCCACTGGCGGGTACACATGGGTCGGGTTCATCTAAACCCAAACCCAACCCAACCCGGTGAATAGAGAACGAGTTTAAACCCAAACCCGGCCCAAAACCCGTCAACACGGATTTTACCCGCGTTGACCGAGTTGGGTCGGGTGGGTACCCGTGGGTTTGGGTTCTGTTGCCATCCCTAGTTTCACACGTCCACTTGAAGGACTAACCGGCCGGGTCTTTTAGGCACACATATCTCATCAGCTTTTTTGCCAACCTTACTAATGTTCATTCTTGGACATATATCATCAGAATAGAGTATGTTGCTAAATGATGTGACACTTTGGTAAATATGATCTACACGGATATATTTAACAATTTAGATTAAGTGATAGTTTGATCGTTGTTCGTATCTATGCAATTATCTAATCCATAGATCGATGCATGCATATGAATTTTAAGTAGGAATTTTGTGTTCACCAAGTAAGAATGTAAGATGGAATGGATCGTCATCCATAATGTCACCAAAAGAAAGAAATTGAAACTGGTCCCACTCCCACCTACCTGACTGCCTTGCATCCCAAAGCAAATTTGGGATTGACTTTTGACTTTTGAGTTCTATTATTGACCCGACCCGACCCGACTGGAACCCATTCCCGCAAGTGAAGGAAGGGAAGAGAGCTTGTCAAGCAAGCAACCAACTCCCTGTCTTCCTCCCACCTCCTGCCTTGTAGCGTATTATATAAAGCCGACCACATCCCTCTCCTCTTCTACAACCAATTCCCCCAACTTCCACTCTTAGCTCTCTCTCTCTGCGATTCTCGGTTTTCAAGCTCTGTAATCAATTAATTTGGGCCAGGGGAAATGGAATTCGAGTCGTGGACACATCACGAACCGGCGTCGTTCCCGCCGAGGAGAGGGCAGATCAAGATCAACATCTTCAGGAGCTTCATCAAATCCGCGGCTTCCATTGCCGGAGGAAAGAAGCAGCGCCATCCCGCTGAATTGGCTGGGTGGAGGAGCGCCAGCGGCAACTCTTTCTCCTCGTCGTCTCCACCGCCGACTCCGCCTGCTACTCCGACAGGCTACTTCTCCGACGACGACGACAGCCGTTAGATAGTACTGATACTGCTGATGATCATCCATCGGAATTACGAGCCGATCGAGATGTTTCTTCTCTCTCTCTCTCTGCCACTCTTCTTGTGTTGTGCAGTCGTCGAACCATTCGACTACCGATCTGGCCCAAGTGTGGGCAAGTTCTGAGTTTTGTTGTGGGCCCTGGGCTTGAGCCCCGGCCCAGGGACTATGTTGTAGAAATTGGGAGTTAATTGATCCAAGTTCCCAGTTGTACTATAAAGTACATAACTAGTTTTCCTCTGTTATTATTTGATTATTATAAGGGTTAATACCACTGGAAAAGCCGAACTATTAACTTTGTGTCATTTGTATTTTAAAGTATTCGATATGACAATTGTGTCCCAACGTTTGGTAGTTTTATATTATTTACGTCCTAACAATTTTGTTGACCGTTATAAATAACGGTTGACCAAACGATCAACCATAAAATGTTGACTGTTGGTTACATGACACATATGTGGCAGCCACGTATACACCACGATCAGCTGCCACATCAACTCATTAACACATAATATTTTTAAATTATTTTTTTTAATATAAAATAATAAAATTAAAAATTCTATTTTTTTAACCCCTACCGTCGGTCGCCGCAACCACCCAACCGAACCAAAACCAGATTCAGTTCCCTTCCGACCCTAAAGCTCCAAAGCTGAATCGCGTCGTCTTCCCCAAACTTCACCTCCTCCACCACGCTGTTCCACTGCGACGTCAGAACGTAGTTACCCCTGCCGACGACCGTGCCCCACTGCTTCAGATGCACAAGCCATTCCTTCTCCCTTGGCTCGACAATTAGGCGCGCATCCACCCCGCCTAGCCGGCATCCGTGCCCCACCGCTTCCCCAGCTCCACCGCCTCCTCCGCCGTCAGGAACTCTTCCCCCACCGCCCCGCGCGGGATCGACAACCGCGCTTGGCTATGGTCCAGGTCGCTCCTCGACAGACGCTTCTGGATCACAGACTCCAATCGACATCTTCTCCGGATTTTCAGCACCAGCTCCGCAAAGGATACTTGGTCCGGCGACTTGGACGAGGAGAGACAAATATCGAACGGCGAATAATCCAGCTCCGGCAACCACCACTTCAATTCGGCCCTACAAATCCAGGTCAGCTCCGTCGCCTTCAAATTTAGATAAAAATTCCAATCGAACTCCTCCAATATCGGCTCCGTCGCCTTTAGATTCAATTCAAAATTCCAATCGAACTCCTCCAATCCCTAAATCACCCATCGTGCTTAAGATTTCCATTGCGGATTTGCGAAAAATGTGTTTGTCGTCGTTCGATTTCTCCGTGGTTCCACCATAGCTATAGACTGCGGCGGTAGAGGAGAAGTGCAACGGAGGTTTAGGAGTGGAATCGACGGAGTTGATTTGGGGATTCTTGTTTGTTGCAGGTGACGGCGTCAGAGGCGGCCAGGAGGAGGATGTGTTGTTGGCGGCGGAGGTGAGGATGAAGATGGGTTTGGGTTTTGGGATTTTTTCTGGATTTGGGTTTGGGAGTTTGTAGTTCAAGAGGGCAGCGAGCAGAGGAGAGAAGACGAAGCAGCGGGAGGAGTTCCGGCGGCGAAGACTACGGAGGAGAGATAGAAGAGTTATTTATTTTGTATTTTTATATTTAATTTTTTGTATATTGTAATTTTATTTTTGTTAGTTTATTTATTTTTTATAATAAAATAAATAAATAATAATATTCCATGTCGGATGCCACACCAGCGCTGACTAAATTTTCAGTTAAAAACTAACGGTCAACGCCAGTCAACTCTAACAGACAAATAGTTTAGGACACAAATGCCATATCGAATACTTTAAGACACAAATGACACAAAATTAATAGTTCGGGTTTTCTAGTGGTATTAACCCTTATTATAATTCCAAGTTATTTATCTATTTGCACTCTTATAATTTATCACATCAATCATCACGGAAGTATTTAAATCAAATATTTTCCTCTTTTGATCAAAATAATAAGAGGATCAAAATAATAGAAGTGTGCTTCTTTGCTTCCAACCGTTAAATTGCACGTTTGGTCACTCTGATTCAGTTGATCAATATTACCACGCGTTTAATTCTATAAGCCTACAATGTACATTTAAGTATATTGTCAAGAAGGTTCAACAAGTTCCTGTTTCTCAGACTTGGGTTGCCTTATGATCTACTTATCAAACCTGCTACAGATTCCTTTCTTACGGAATAGCTACTCGATCGGATTTGATAGTCATAGAGTTGCAAATGAGTCGAACTGTTTGCGAGCGGCTCGGCATTCAACTCGAGAAAAGCTCGTACGAAACTCGACTCGTTAATAAACGAGCCGAACACGAGCTCACCTTTATTCAGCTCGCGAGCTAGCTCGACTCGGTGGCTTGTTGAGCTAAACTCGTGAGCTGGCTCGTTTAGAGCTCATGATATGTGTTAACATGTGGCTAGAGAGCCAACTCGATTACCAACTTATGGACGAATCAATCTATATCTTATGATTTTAATTCATATGGTTGTTAAATTATATATCTCACCATATATAAAGTTTAACACGTTGAGTATGTGAGCAAATATATCTTATTTTCTACTTTTAAAAAAAATTATGCATCATAGATTGCTTCGATACTATGAAATAACATGATTTGGAGTAGTTAAAATTTATTAACTAAATGATATATGATACCAACAAAATATAATATGAGATTAGCTAACAAAATAAATCATATGTATCATGATATACAAAATGAAGTACCATATAAAAGTTAAGATTTTAATAAACAAGTTAGCTCGAGAAACGAGCCGAGCTCAAAATAGAGTAAAACTCGACTTGACTCAGCTCATTTGCAGCCCTATAAAAATATTTAACTTTTCCCTTTGAACATTTTCTGCCCCAGAAAATATTGCCGTTTAATATTGGACTTTTTCAGGTGATGGAATTGGTGTAATCAAAGGTCGAAATGATTGGTTTTGTTGGGCTCTCACCGATTCCTCCAAATCCTGTGGTGGAACAGGAACACATGTGTCCTCATCAAATAAACCAAGCATCATTAGAATCTTAATTAGCAGAAGGTACACTATAAGTAGTATCTGAAAGTAGAAAAAAAATAAAAAAGCAAACAATGAATATTGTTAAGGCAATATTTTCCTTCCTCCTCTTAGTTATTGTTTGTGCTTTTGCATCCATGGAATCTTCGGATGCAGCTCTACACAAGAACAACAATCGAGACAGCATCACCACCACCACCAACAGGAAGCTGGTGCTTTATAATTCTACAGGTAAGTTCCCTTCAAAAGTCGATTTAAAGAAGAAGGGAAAATATATGATCTGTCTTGTATAAATTTGGAGTTCAGCGAGTGGTTTTGATAATTTAGATGTGATACAAGTAAGGGAAAAATAAAAACTATTTATTCTTATCAGATTGGTTGTTGTTCGCTTATAACACGTTAATTCAGAACTAGTTCATTTTGTTTTGATGCAGCTTCTCACGAAAAGAATAAAATGATGATCACCATGACCACCACCAGAAAGCTACTTGACTGGGGCAAGTTTCCCTTCTTAACTCACTCTCTTTCTTGGAGAAATTTTTTGACTAACAACTTGAAAGGACATATCATGTTAATATTCAGTTAAGTTAGTCCCAATGACTAGTGGGTTATGAGGAATTCTTGAAAATAAGATGGTATATAATTAATAATATTTAAATCTTTCACATATATTTTGGGTGGATTTCTTTTACTAAACTTCATTGGGAAAACACAAACGTGGCAAACAGGGAAGGTATGCGGGAAAAATAATTGTTGTCGTCATGATCCTATATCGAGATGTGTTTGTTGTTGCGACGACGTGGATTGTTATTAGCAAGCTAGCAACAATAGCTCGTCAGAGATTGATGGAACCGCCGACAGGTCATTGAATGGTCAATACTTTATATATGCGTTTTCCTTTATATTTATTATTTTAATATATATATTTATTTATTTTTAATTTTCGTGTTACAGCGGAGAAATCAATTTGGAGAAGAGAAGCATACTTCCACTAAGAAGCCAACATAATAGATCACCTAAAGAGACATAAAATTATTTATGACTAATTAAATATCAAGAATCATGGCCATGGGTCAAGAAACTATTACTCACAGCAGTAACAAACATAAATCATTACCAAATAATTAATACTTAAATATCGCTCATAAAATAAAGCAACTATGTATGCTACTTATCAAATTGAGTCCAAACGTCCTTTATATGTTGTGGTGTGGTGTCCTCTATATGGTACTTTGGCATGTAAAAAAAAATGTTGGTCGTGACCAAATTTTCACTTTTGTTAAAGTTATGCCACTGCTACTAATTGTAGTAGGGTAATTATCATACATGATCACAAAACTATGATTACAAATCTTTAATTTTGCACGTTTTAGTAATATATGTTTAAAATTAGAACAAAAAGATAATTCCGTCAATCTCCATCCAAAAAAACCGTTTCATCCATACAGTCAGCATGTCATGTCATTTAAAATATTAATAAAAAAATTAATAACCTAGCCCAATTAAACCTACAAATCCAACCGAAAAACCCTAACTATTACCCTTCTTCCATCCTGGCTTGATGTCGATCGTTCACGATTTCACCGGCAGTGTCTTTTCCAGCGAAGTTTTACACGGGAAACGATCAAGAGCCCAAAAATTTTCAACCATTTCTCATAAATGGGTCGTCGCCAATTCTACTACTTATCCACTAGCATCTGCGATTTCTCTGGATCTCTTCATCTTCTTAGTAGTCCCCTTCTACGACCTACAGCTAGTCCTCATCCCGGCGGGACCACCAACCCCCGCCGTTGAATGCCGACGAGAATCCAAAGAGTTCAGCAAAAACGTCGTTACGTTGGTGCTTCTTGGGTTGAACCAGAATGAAATCGGACCATCGCCGGTGGAGAAGAACGTCGCTACTCCCTCCACCAATGCCAGAACCGCCCCGTGGCGGCGACGGAACCTGCCATTGAGATGGTCTGTTGGATGGCGATTCGACGATGTCAGGGAAACAGTATGGAGAAGACGGATTGAATGCGTGATTTTGATCACTCTCCTTAGAGTGTTGGTAGGATTTAGGCAAACCACCCCCAGAAGTCCCTCCAATCAAAGTCAGAAAGCAGCACCTTTCGTGACTTCTGTGTTTGTGTTTTTGGAGAAGGAAAAAACGAGGAAAAGAAGATGAACGTAGGACGAAAAGTTCGGCTGCAGAAGACTTTTATAGTGAAAACGATAGTTTCCTTCCGAAGGGTTACGCCGTTTCACAAAAGTAAAAAACAAATAATTATCCGGATTAATTAATTAAAATAATTCCGGTAATTAATTAGCAAAAAATTCAAATCCGAACGCGTCGCGCAAACGTGCTCTCACCCACTAAAGTGCGTAGTGCGATTTAATATGTCAAATTAAATAGCTCATACTTTTTCCAAAAGCCACTAACCACTTTATCTAATAACTAAAGTGGAAAGCAAACTTAAAAGCAACTTGCACTTTCCTTCTCCCACCAATGTGGTATTTCCTTTACTCTTTGACTACTCTAACAATCCCCCACTTAGTCAATAAGAGTCGAGAATACCTGCCTCGAACAAGTAACGCATACATAAAGGTATCTTTTCGATTTGAACCTTTACTTAGTGTAAGCATCTCAAAGTTCATAGCGAATCAATAACGGGCTTAAGCCTAGGAGTAAAGATCCAAAGCTAGAACCGGAGACACCACACACGTACTCGTCTCTTCTCTAAAACACAACCACCAACAAGGGTAGCACTATTATGGCCATGTGCTTATCCTGTTTCATGAGCATATATAAAAGTTGACCTTTACTTTCGTTAGAGCGGCACCACTCCAAATGCTCACATAGGTGACATTCCATATGAATGTCATTAAGAGTTCTATAACTCACCCTTCTTACAACTAATTTACTTGTACAATAAACTAGTTCCCAGTTAGAGTAACTTGTTATTACCACATTGAACCTCTTAATTAGGGAATATCTAAAGAAAAGGTTGGGTTTACATTACTTCTAACTATACAAAAGGTCACAATCTCATCCCTTGGGATGTCTCATAGATTATGCCTCTTGGCAACCCCTTTGTAAGAGGATCTGCCAAATTGTTGCACGACCTTACATACACAATAAAAATGATTCCGTTAGTAATCAAATACCTAACGTAATCATGTCTTAGGCTAATGTGTCTAGACTTACCATTGTAATTCTTGTTATAAGCTATAGACAATGTAGTCTCACTATCACAGAAGACAGAAATGACTGGCATCGGTTGTGGCCACAACTTTATATCTAACAACATGTTTCTTAGCCATTCTGCTTCTTTTCCAGCCGCCGCAAGGGCTAGGAATTCGGCTTCCATAGTGGAGTGTGTAATACATGTTTGTTTCTTCGAAGCCCAAGAAACAGCTCCACCACCTAGTGTAAAAATCCATCCTGTTGTGGATTTATTATCACTAGCGCTCGTGATCCAACTAGCATCAGAAAATGCTTCTAGTACAGCGGGGAAGTTGCTATAGAAGAGTCCCAAATCTTTGGTTCTTTTCAAATAACCAAAGACTCTTCCTATAGCTCTCCAATGATCGGCACTAGGATTACTAGTGAATCTAGAAAGTTTGCCCACAGCAAATGCAATATCGGGCCTAGTACATCCCATTGCATACATCAAACTTCCAATAGCACTAGAATACTCAACTTGTGCCACTGCCCTTCCCTCATTCGTACAAAGC